GAGGTCCGCTGTTAGCCTTATGGGATATCCTCTGAAGTAACTTGTCATTTCTCTCTTGCCAAATTTACTGTATTGTCTCTGTGGTTTTCGTATCTGGCTATGATGTGCCTTGGAGAAGATCTTGGGTTGATTCTGTGTCAGGTCCTTTGTATTTCTTGGGTCTGGATATTAGAATGCCTCTCTAGGTTTGGAAATTTTTCTTCTAGGATTTCATGGACTAGATGATCAATGCCCTTATTAGTTTCTTCACCTTCTGGGATACCAATGATCTGGATGTTTGGGCATTTAATGGTATCTAATATTAGTCATATGTTACTCTCATTTTTTGGAGTTATTTTTTTCCATCTTTTTGGTGAATTTTTCTAGGTCAGAGGTTCTATCTTCTACATCTGAGATTTTTCTAGGTCAGAGGTTCTATCTTCTACATCTGAGATTTGATCTTCTGCATGATCTAATTTGCTTTTGATATTTTCAAGGGCGGTTTTGATTTCCTGTATTAAAGCCTTCATCTCTAATAATTGTTTGATTCTCTCTTATGATGTGTATCTCCTCTTTCAGATCCTGCAAGAACTTCCTCACCTCCTGGAACTCTATGTCTCTTTTCTCTTGCATCTTCTTGACTTCATTGTCTTTCTGCTCTTGCATCTGTTAGCTTTGTCACTATGAATATTTTAAATTCTTTATCTGACATTTCCATGAGTTCCCTTGTATTCTCTGTGGAGGATGAGGAGCTATTCTTTTCCCTTGGAGGAGAGATATTTTCTTGGTTTCTCATAATTCTTGTGCCTCTGCAGTGGTTTCTGGTCATCTGATGGATCATACATTTTTCTCTAGTTTTTGGAGTTAAATCTGAGCATTCAGACGCATGCAGGAGGAGGTGACCTGCAGTCTGTAAACAGTACCATTTTTCTCCCTCTGCACAGCTGATTCACTGAAAACTGAGGATTAATCTGACCCTAAAAGTATTCAGATATTTGGCTACTGAGCACCTAGGCCTATCTAGAAAATCAGTATATGGAGGCTGAGGAGAAAAGTGAGAAAGGTAAAAGAAAAAGGAAGAGGAAAAGGAAAAGGAATAGAAAAAGAGAGAGAGAGGAAAAAAAAAAAAAAAAAAAACAAGACAAAAACAATTTTAAAAGTTTTTCTTTTTTTCCCAAAAAATGAAAACCACGTGACAGGTTAGTGAGCCACCGGAATGGGGTCACTCAGAACTCAATTAGAGAAGGCTGCTGACTGGCTTGTCCTGTGGGGGGCAGGGGGAAAGGTGAGAATTAGCAAGACAAAAGAGCAGCAGAGAGCTAGGAAGTTTAAAAATCAAAAAAGAAGGGAACCAGCAGTTAGTGTAATGGCTATATGGCTGGGCTCCCACGTAGTCGACCGCGGTTTGTGTCCCAGTCCCGGTGGCTTAAAACTCACACCGGGCGCGTGTGCGTGCGTGCCCAAGATCCCGAGAGGAGAATGGAGGAGAAGGG